GGCTTGAAAGGCTAAATTCCAAAGCTTACGCATCAGTTTTACAGCTCACATTGTTATATTGCCTCAGAAAGAATTGAGCACTGCTTTATAGATGTCTTCATCCCCTGATGGTAGCCAGTTACGCCAGAGTTTCACACTAGTGTTGCATGCAGCAAGCGTCCTTTTGCAGATCGTGGAATACAACATTGTGCTGTTGTTTCATAAAACAGGGCAAACGCATTGCAGTGCCTGTCCGGCACATGCACCGGACACGTTAGGGGTTGTGTCTTGTTGCTTGGTTCCAGCTCGGCCAAGCTCTTAGCGTGCGACGTCTGCGTGATTGGTTGTCTATGCCAGCGGCCGAGCCAGTGCCTCGAAATGCAAGATGCGCCTCCTAGCTAGGCCCACTGGAAAACGTAGCGGCCGTGGGGCCCGACCGGGGGCGACGGTCATGGGGCTGCAACAGAGGCGTGGATGCGGATGACCGTCGGAGCAAGGGTGCTTGGTGACGAGGCGAAGCCAGGGTGACCCGCGTAGTGTCCGCGCGTCGAATAGGCGGCAACTGCAGTTTTCCCTTGGGGAAGAAAAAGGGGATGGGGAAGGTGAGGCTGACAGATTTCCCTCGCAATGCAAGATGTGCCTCCTAGCCAGGCCCACTGGAAAACGCAGGAATCGGGCTTTTCCGCCGGGCCAGGTCGGCGCAAGCGCACGAGCTGCATGGGAGCAGAGAGCAACGGTGCAAGGCCAACGCGATAGCAGGGTAACCAATCAGCTTCTCTGCTGGGCGATGCTGCATGCACCCAGACAACCAAACCGTGGGTATTTGCATGGCAGCAGCCTGGCCAGGGACAGCCTGGCTCACCGGTGCGGTGCAGGCTAGGGCCGTGCGGAAACCAAACACACCCTTAATACCTGCAGATCCTCTGCCTTAGTGCCTTAGGCCTTGTTTAGTTTAGGGTTAGAAATCAGTATTCGATACTGTAGCATTTTCGTTTATATTTGACAATTATTGTCCAATCATGGCCTAACTAGGCTCAAAAGATTCGCGTCGTAATTTACAATCAAACTGTGTAATTAGTTATTTTTTTATCTATATTTAATACTCCATGCATGTGTCTAAAGATTTGATGTGATGGAGAGAGAGTGAAAAACTTGGAATCTAAACAAGGCCCTAGAATTGAATTCTTTACTTGTTGCTCAAGTTACAAACATGATTGCATTTGACCAAATGCTCATAGAGATGCTTACGATGTACCCTCAAGAGAAATAGTGCCTTATGCATGGCAGGTGCTCTTTCCGTGCCAAAATAAACACATGTCTCGCTTTATAAGGAGTTAACCGGATTTAAGTTTGACTAAATGTATATATAAAAAAATATATATCAACATTTATATCTTTAAATATCTAGTTTTACAATAAAAATGCATTATGTGATTAGTCTAATGGTAATTATTTATATAACAACATTAAGTATGTTTGGTTAAACTTTAGAACGCTTGATTCACCGAAATGCGAGTTGTTTATTCATTTTGGAACAAGGAAAACAAAAACACACACACTAGAGTAGAACAATTGTTTTTTTTACTCCAACAAAAGCACACGACACGATGTGACAGATTCTCCAACTTGGGCTGAAGAGCGGGACGAAGGGCGTTGAACTCGAGTCGAGAGGCCAGCCGGTCAGGACGGCGTGGAGCACGGTGCACTTGGGCTGACGACTGTGTCTGAGTGACAACCGACCGAGAGATATGACTTGACCAGGGTTTGCAGGCCGCGCGATGGCTGATAATGTTCGCTTGTTGATTTCAGTCAATCCAAACCAGTCAGCCAACAGTGTTTTTCTCTCACAATAAACCAGCATCAGCCAACTTAAACCAGTCCAGAAACCAATCAGCGAACAGGCCGAATCAAAGTCCAGCTTGACCACCGTTGCAGAGATAGATTCCCGTTTCGGGCAGCCTGCGCCCACACGGTCACACCCTTGAAACAAGATGTACACCCATCTTCACTTGGAACGTCCACAGCTCGTCGATGGTTCCATCTTGCCACGTCCATGAAGGAAGAGCAAGAAGCGTCTCGATCTCCTCGTCCGCGTATCATCATAAGTGTTAATACTACTTATTTACACATATTTGGTCAAACTAAATAAAATTTTGATTTCTTGAAAGCAAGATGTACTCTTACACCAAGAGAGAGTGATGCTCACTGGGTCCGTGAATAAATCAATTTCTAGAGTTATCCTCAATTAAATATTTTTAAGTTTATCAAACATATAAAAAAGAGTATTTGGATTTACACCAAATTAATATAATTAGATACACTATAAATTATACTCCTAAATATTTTTAGTCAAACTTAAAAAAATTATAAGTATTTTTATAATTTGTTTATTTGGTCTCCTAAATATTATTGTATTTTTCTATAATTTTAGTCAAACTTAAATCTTTTTAACTGAAGATAACTCTAGAAATTGATCTATTCAGGTCAAGAGACTACCGTTTTATTTTGATAGTCCACGCAAGTAGAGGGTCCAAATTAGCGTGGTAGTGGCGCATAATATTGATTGATTGATTGACTTTGCTTGAACTGAATCTCGTTGCAAGTGTCGGGTGGGCTTGGTAGAGCTCTCGCTGTTTCAGCTATAAAATAGTTTTAGCTGTGACTTCAATCAAACATTTTTTTAGCTTTAGCTTCTTTACACTACACCATGATCTACTTTTGCCTACAGTAATGTGTTGGTAAAACCAGGCTTTTGACCACACATAATGTGTCGGCAATTCTATACCTTTTCAGAGTCACATAAACTGTCGTCAATAATGGTGTACGACTACATGTTTTGTGTCGGCGTTTGTCGTTCCCACCCAAAAAGTGTCGGCGAAGTTTTTTTGACAATCGAAATGCTGGGCGTCGGTGGGGGCCTCCACCAAACCACTGTCCAAGTCGTGGAAGGGTATTTTGAAGCAAATAGAAATGCAGTGTTAGGCGGCGTCGGCACTTTCGTGCAAAAGCAGAGCGTCTTGGGAGCTAAATTGATAAATTTTGAGCCCACTAAAACAGGCCCACTCATCTCTCTCCCACTCAAGCAACTCGGAAAAAATAAAAAAGAAAACTTACGAGCTTTTGCCCAGTGTTTCACCGACACCTCGCGCCCAGTGAGCCCGACCTCCCTCACTGTCGCCAAAAAAAGCTCTTACGACCACCAAAGCGCCGAGAGATTCCGAGCCCGACCCGCCTCCGCCTCGAGGAGACTCCGTCGGCGCGCGCCAAAAGATTCCGCCCCAGCCTCGGAGGCTCACCGCTGCGCCGCCGTCCACACTGCCGCTCCCAGCCGCCCGCCCCGCCTCGACGCGACCGCCAAGACCTGGCGAGCCCCACCGCCTCCGCCCCGGTCCCGCCGCCGCCAAATCAAATCCAGCGCCAGCGCCTAGCCCCCTTGCCTCAACCACCGCCGCCCCTAGCCCACCACCGCCCGGCCAGCGGAGGCGGCGGTCTTTGCCGCAAGCATCTCCATTCTCCTCCGCATCCAGGTGCGTCATCTCCTCATCCCCTTCCTCTCATCCCCATTCCCCTATGTGCTAGGGTTTCGGCACAACTTACTTTCTTAGATTTTTTCTTGGTTGCAGAAAGGAGTAGACGAAGGTGAGAAAGACTAAGAAAGACTAGAAAGATTCAAGGTTTGAGTTACTTCTCTTGCCAAACTTTTATTCAGTCCAGATCCGCCCTCTTCCCCTCTTTGGAGAAGGAACATATTCAGCTCGATTTTGATGTGATGTTTATTGCCTTAGTTGATTTTGCAGAGGAACTAATAGGATTCTAGATCTTGTACACAAGAGAATCCATCAGTTTGCATATAAGTTTTCTTACTCTGGATCTGCAACTTATTTCTAGTCTAGTATATGAAGGCAAAGTTCACACTGATGGGAGTTCATAGTCTTTCTAGTTTGGTCCTTTATGCAGAAAAAAATGTTGTGACTGTTCTATATAAAAAGAGAGAAGGGAATCAATTGAACTTTAAGCTGCAAGTGGAATTATAAGTTAGTCTTGGAACTATTGAAATGCATACATGTCTCCTCGTTGCAAAAAGATCAGATCTGAGTATTTGTTTCTTTCTTGTGCATGTCGTAAAATATCCAATAAGAAAGCACTAAAGGATTCAACTCTTCGATTTTTCTTTCTACACAAGTCGTCACCAACTCGTCACCTACTGTAGCTTGGAAGTAAGTTTGCTTGTGCTCAGGTTTTCGACTTATTTGTATTGCCTTGTGTGATTAATTAGCGTTGGTAATATTATCTCAGGAGAGCACGAGCAAGTTGGCCTTCTAGTCTTCATCTGTTTTTCTATTGCCATTGCTTGATTGGTATGCTTTCCTTTTCTTATAAGCTTTGTCTTTGCATTTGGCTTAGAATTGCAGGTTGTGTGTGATCTGTGATGTGATGATTTGGTTTCTTAAAATTGGACTAAATTTCCCCTATAGTTCTTATTGATGGCTTGTGGTGAGATAATTTTTTAGCATCAAGTGTGGTGAAATTGATTTAATTTGGACAATTGATTGGCATGATCTTTATTTTTTGTTGAACAACCCAATCTGAACTGAAAGATTTTTTATTTTGGGAGTAATATTTCACTATTTTGACACTGCATTTTGTAAAAGGTGCGTCATGGATAAAACATTGATGGATCGGCCTAGGTACATATATTTAGCTAGCAGCAACACTTATATTCACTTTCAGATTAGACCAAAGATGTGCTATTATTCTTTTGACCACTAAATTAGGAGATTGTTGTGATAGCTAGATCCATCAGTGCAATCCAATGAAGCAGAGGAAGCCATAACTATTTGTTAATTGCATTGGTTAATTGCAACTGTTCCTGGAAGTTAAACATGGTTCTAGTAATCTATTTTGTGTTGTATGAACATGGAACTTTACAAGCTCGTAAAATTAGAGTGCAAGGTCGTGACACTTTCTATAATACTAAACTTGTGTCACAAATCAAGTTAAGCGTTGAATAATGGGCAGTACTAATATGCCTCAAATATGAATATATGCCTCAGATTGGAATATGAATTTTTACGGATTGACAAACGAGAAGATAAAGAATTAAGGGAACCTACCACTGGGTGAGATGGTAAAAACGGTGCCAAATGCTTCTTAACCCCAATAGGATCCATGCCGGGACCACCTCCACCATGTGGAATGCAAAATGTCTTGTGAAGGTTAAGGTGACAAACATCAGCTCCAATAAAACCAGGGCTTGTTAACCCAACCTGTAAAAAGAAAACTTTTGTCTTGCTAATGCTAAGTACTGAACTCTAATAGATTTGTCTCGTAAGTTCACTACACAAGTATTTTATTTTCAAAATAAGAAGAATCAACTTCATCGCATTGTTGGAATGCCATCTACACATAGCAATATAAATGTGTCCCATAATTTTTTAGAATAATATTTTCTTGAAGAGATTGCTTGCATAATGAACAAAGTACAGAAGATGGAATAGCAAACTGTGAAACAGTAACCTGAGCATTCATGTTAGCCCCGTCCATGTAGACCTGTCCGCCATTTTCATGAATGATCCTGCAGATCTCATCAACGCCTTCTTCATAGACTCCGTGAGTTGAAGGGTAGGTAACCTGAAAATAAGTCAATATTGTAATACTCTGTTATTCTCGGCATACAACAAAAAGAATTTCAAATTTTCTTTTGAAAACAACAAATTCCATCCTAATTGAATTTTTCATTTTCCTTAAAAAATCCTAATTGAATTTTCACATTTCCATGGTTCAACAATATTCACTCTAATCCACCAATTATCTGTACATCAATAAACGAAGTGGTGGGCACCTCTTTCTATTCCTCCTATTGTATATGTTATGTATGACAAGTACCATTAGATGAAGTATTATGAGGCAGATGTGATTGCAAAATTCATCTAACTCACACCATAACACTAAATAAAGCAAGAAGGCTACACAGTGATAATCTTTCAAAATAGCATAAAAATGAACTACATAAAGGTGAGCTCTTTTTTTTTCAAAAAGCCACGGGCGAGAGAATCGCCAGGCATATACTAATAGAGATGAAAGAGTAAATGTCCAATGTAAATCTTCATATTAAAAGAGCATAACAAGAGCAAGAGTACCATCAGAGCAGCCAAGTTGTCCTTGTTTGCTTCTGCAGCTTTCCTCAATTCCTCGATGTTTATGTTACCCTTGGAATCAGTTCCAACAGCAACAATCTTCATTCCAACCCTAGCAGCACTTGCAGGATTTGTGCCGTGTGCTGAGACAGGAATGATGCAGACATCACGGTGGTGGTCTCCTCTTGACTGCATTTTATCAGCATAATTATTTAACAAAGATTACTAGAAAAGCAAGAGAGGAAAAGGCTAGGCCACATAGATCATGACATACGTTGTGGTATGCACGGATGACCATCAATCCAGCATACTCTCCTGCAGCACCAGCATTTGGTTGCAAAGAGAGAATCAAAACCAGTGATCGTGCATAACAGGTTGCCCAGGTCGTCAAACATTTCCTATGACAGAAAACAAGTTACTTCGGATGTTTGGAAATTCATGCTGCGGATACTTTGCCATTAGGATAGAAACTGAATCATGGTCCTTACATGGTACCCTACAGCCTGATCAGTAGAGGCAAATGGGTGCAGATTTCCAAGAACAGTTGCATACTGTGCATACTGTGCATTTCAGCATTTCAGAGAAGATAAGCTTTCGAAACGAAGCTTTGCAATTTGCATATGGTTCTCAGTTTCCTCTGGTTCTAAATATTCTGATTATTTTGGAATTTTGCATACCGTGCATTTCATATTAGGAGAAAATGGTGTTGGGTTATTCCCCAGGAATGCTGAAAATAGCAAGTTTTTCTGTATCGTATAGTTGAACATAAAATAATCAAGGGAACTCATGCATAGATGCTGCATTTCAGTTTTGGCGTTCTTTCAGAAAACAAGCAGCCCCACAAGACCTCGTGTATTTGCTTCTCCAATATAAATGAAAAATGATGTTCTATGATTGACTGAAATAGATAAACGTTGCAAGAGTTAATGTACAGAGCACATTGCACTGATATTTCACATTTTTTTTCATGTTAGGTACTATGTGGTGTTGCAAGTATTTTGGATTGGCAACTTTTTGAGGTTCGATCAAAGAGCTGTTACATGTTCTGTAGAGTGGCAGCAACCATATGTGCACGAAGCTGGTGTTCAAGCATTTTGGAGTGGCAGCAACCATATGTGCATGAAGCTGGTGTTCAAGTATTTTGGAGTGGCAACAAGTGTCCGAGAGTTGCTGCAGAACGACATAAATTGCAGTTTTGTTCTTTTGTTTGCACCTACTATCGTGTAGGACAAAGATATGGAACTGTTGAATGCTACTTTTGTGACCTAAGTCCTGATCTATTGATCTCTTAGCTTTAGTCATAACCAATTAATACAAGACTATGTCTATACATGTCTGTAACTGACTAATCTATATCTTGGACCTATATGGCTCTATGTACTATGATCATCACTTGACCATATATATATATATATAAAGTTGGTGTATGTATGGAAGATCTAATATATTATTTATATAAAAATCAAGTAAATTTGTTCAATGTGATGCCTCCTATATGAGCAAAAGTGGATTTGTCAAATTATTTTAATTGTAATTATATCTATGCAGTTTTGCCGATAGTTTTTTTAGGCAGGGTATGGTTTCTAACATACCTTGGAAATGGTTTGTCCAACATACAAACTGTCGGCAAAGGTCTTAACTGTCGACAAAGGGTTAACTGTCGGCAAAGGTCTTAACTGTCGACAAAGGGTTAACTGTCGGCAAAGGTTTCAACTGTCGGCGTAGGTAGACCCGTTTGCCTACACATAAAGTGTCGGGGATTCTGTTAACTGTCGGCAAAAGTTTCGCCGACGGCTTCTAGCGCGATTGTTTCTAAACTGTCGGCAAAACTTTTCGCGGGAGGTTATCTATCGGCAAAGGTGCCCTTTGCCTACGATAGAAAGTGTCGGCAAAAGTATGTTGTGTTATAATGTTAGTTAAAAAAGTTTGGTAAAACACCTACTTTTTCTTTTGTTTTTCTCTCTTTTTCCCTTTCTTTCTTTATCTTCTCCCCTTCTTATCCAGTACACCACCACCTGCACAAGCTGCTCCTCTTCCTCAGCCTGCATCCGAGCGTCGCCCATTCCCTTCCGGTTCGTCATAGCTCGGCGTCCACCCTCAGCCCTCGCAGTTGCTCCTCCACTGTAGCCCTGTCTCCCTCTTCTCCTGGCCAGCCTCCGACCGCCGCCTCTCCTCTCCTGACGCCTCAACCTCCAGCGGCCCATAAGCTAGTCCGATTGTCGCTCTTGCTCGCGTGGGAGGAGGACGGCAACACTTCATCTTCAATCTCCATCGCGTGAGCGACGGAGGAGGACGACAATGCGTGTGGGCCTAGGGGCATCGGCGTCCAGTCGAATGTAGGTGTTTGTTGAAGCTTGATTTTTTAGCTCCTCCGATCCAACTGCCACCGGCCTCTCAAGCGTGATTTCAAGCGATTCATCGTGCGTGAATCGGCTTCGGTAGGAGCTGAAGAAGCGTTACCAAACTCACCCGTAGTAAGGCCAAGTCAAAAACATTTCAAGGTAAGAACTATTCCCTCCGTCCACAAAAGAACGTAACTATAGGGCTTGTGCCGGTCAAACTAGTTTAAGTTTGACCAAGTTTCTAATTAATAGTATTAACATTTGTGTCTTTCATACCGTTTACTACGAGAATATGTTTCATAAATACTCAATCTAATGATGCTTATTCTGTTATACCGTGAATGTCAGTATATTTTTATATAACTTTAGTCAAGGTCTAGATTTTTTGACTTCTCGAAAAACCAGAAGTGCATTCTTCTATGTGAATAGAGGGGGTACTCACTCTGTCCATAATAGAATGCAATTACGAGATCCGTGCCGTTCAAATTATCTCAAATTTGACCAAGTTTATAGTAAATGATATTGATATTTATGTCAAAATAAAATTATTATAAAAAATATATTATATAACTAATCTAATGATACTTATTTTATATAAAAATATTAGTATTATTTATATAAATTGAGTCAAAATTAAAACTGCTTGACTCATTGAAAAGTGAAAATTACATTTTTGTTGTTGTTGAGGAGCGAGTAATTAAGAAATGAGTAGCCATGTTTGCCACGTGATTATCTGATATATGTATTCTAAAACATAGTACTAGTAGGGGGTGATTGGTTGCCTTGCTCGCGCCGTCCACAGGCCCATCCGGCGTCGCACGATGCACTTCGCCCTTGTTTGGCTCTCTGCCTCGCACCATTTGCTTGCTTCGTTCCATTCATTTCCCCTCTTTCATCCCGCACGCCTCCGTCTTCTGGATTTGGCTTTCCCTCACGAGCTGGGATGGCTTGATTCATGCATGGTGCAGGAGCCTATGTGTCAGAGACTCAAAACTCTCATGCATATATGCAACCAAATACGATCTCATCTCGTACTGGATCAATAATAAAGACAATCAAACGTAGCTAGGTGCACGGTTTCGGTCTGCCTCCCGCGAGCCTGGACCGGCCCTCCATCCTGGCTCTCATTCGCGGAGCAACCAATCACGGGACGACCACGGCAAGCTCCTTCGTAGCCAGGAGTCGCTGGCGGGACGTCCGAGGATGAGCTGTGGTTTTCTCTTTTTCTTATTTGATTTGAAGCAAGGAAAGGAACCTGCTTTGATTGAGGTCAATTAGTCTGTGGATAATATTAGCAATATTTATATCACTCTAATAAATTTATTATAAAAATAGATTTAATAATCTATTTAATAATACTAATTATATATTATAAATTATTAACATCTTCTTGTATAGATGTGGTCAAACTTAATTACGTTTCACTTTCGGAGAAGTGAGAACGACAGTTCAAAAAGGACCGAGAAAGTAATTATCACCTCCGTCCAAAAATAAACACACGTCTCACTTCTTTGAGAAGTTATATCTTTTTAAGTTTGACTATAATACATAAAATATTATGAATATTTGTATCCCCAAATAAGTTGACCATGAAAATATATTTCTTACTCAGTCTAATAATACTTATTATACATCATAAATAACAGTATATTTTTATTATACATAATAAGTTGACCATGAAAATTTGAATCATCGAGAGAGATGTGTACTCCGTATTTATTTTGGGACGGATGGAGTATCAATTATCAAAGTAATTAAGTCAAACTAGCTCATGCATTCTCTACGGTGTGTGCGAAATGGGTTCCGAAACTTTTGGCCGTTAGCCTTCACCAAATTAAAAATTGTCGAAACCTGAAGCAAAAGAAAAAAAAACAATTAAAAAAATAAAAAAAGTCGAAACCTGACTAAATATATATATATAAAAAGTAATAATACATATGGTATAAAATTAATATCATTAGATAGATCATTAAATCTATTTTCATAATAAATTTATTTAAAGATATAAATATTGTACGTATTTTCTATAAATCCAGTTAAACTAACATGAAAAGAAACGATAGCTATTCAGAGCCGGAGGGAGTATACTACAGCACTATAAAAAAATTAAAAGTTCCACTGCGCTGCCCAGCCCATCCGAGCCAGCTCAACCAATAGGGAGCCACGAACCGGATGAGCCTGCAGAGCTGGGAGTAGTAGTGATAGTATGTGAGGAAGTTCAGCAACAATACATCGTTCAGGTTTTTAAGCTTTGCGTCGTAGCTCTGAGCAGGCGAGGCAGGATAAACGGAGAAGGTGCTTTGGGAGTGGGAGGGGAATCGGGCTAGGTGGGATAAACGCAGAAGGTGCTTTCGGAGTGGGACATGACACTTTGGGCCGGCCCACTTCACGTCGATGGAGCTGGCTCGATCTCCTCGTCCGCGTATCATAAGTTCACAAGTGTTAATACTGCTTCCCCTAAAAAAAATGTTAATACTGCTTATTTACACATATTTGGTCAAACTAAATAAAAGTTTGGCTTCCTAAGTTTGACCAAATATATAAAACAGAGCATCTGGGTTTATGACATTAAATTAATATCAATAGATACACTATTATAAAATATATTTTTATAATTTATTTATTTGGTGTCTTGTATTTTTTTCCTTATAACTTTAGTCAATCTTAAAAAAGTTTGACTTAAGATAACTTTAAAAATTAATTTATTCAGGAATGCAGCGACTGCCATTTTATTTTTATAGTCCACCAGGTAGAGGGTCCTCGACCTGGATTGATTTCATTTCAAGTGGCTCGAAAGGCTAAATTCCAAAGCTTATACATCAGTTTTACAGCTCGCACTGTTACATTGCCTCAGAAAGTTCGTAGATGTCTTCATCCCCTGATGGCAGCCAGCTACGTCAGACTTTCGCACGTCTTGCATGCAACAAGCGTCGTTTTGCGGATCGTGGAACACAACGTTGTGTCGTCGTTCCGAGATGTGCCAACAATAAAACAGGGCAAACGCATTGCAGCGTGCCTGTCCGGCACATGCACCAGACGTCTTAGGGGTTGTTTTTGGTTGCCTGGTTCCAGCTCGGCCAGGCTAGCGTGCGGCGTCTGCGTGTGATTGGTTGTCAGCGCCATCTGCCGAGCCAGGGCCTCGCAATGCAAGATGCGCCTCCATGCTAAGGGCGCGTTTAGTTTAAATTTTTTTGATTTTTACCCATCAAATCGAATTTTTGGACGTATGCATGGAGCATTAAATATAAACGAAAAAAAACTAATTGCACAGTTGGATGAGAAATCGCGAGACGAAACTTTCGAACCTAATTAGTTCATAATTAGACACTAATTACCAAATACAAATGAAAATGCTACAGTAGCTAACCCAAAAAAATTCGCGAACTAAACGTGCCCTAAGCCCACTGGAAAAACACAGGAATCGGGCGTGCCAGCACGAGCGCAGGAGCTGCACGGGAGATAGATTCCCATTTTGAGTAGCCTGAGATGGTGTGGCACGCCCACACGGTCACACCTTTTTTTTTGCGACTCACACGGTCGTACCCTTGAAGCAAGGAAAGGAACCCGGTTTGATTGAGGTGAGCTAATTTGGAGATAATATTATTAACAACATTTATATTCCAAAATAAATTTGATATGAAAATAGGTTCAACGATCAATTTAATGATACTGTTTATGTATTATAAATTATTAATATTTTGTTGTATATATGTGGTCAAAAGTTAATTATGTTTCACTCCGGGAGAACGAGAACGACGGTTAAAAAATACGAAGGAAGTAATTATCAATTATCAAAGTTAGTCAAACTAGCACGGAGGAAGAAAAAGTTATTGCTCCAATATTTTTCTTGTATATACTTCTTTTGGGCCGGTTGAGCCTGATGATTGGTTCTGCTAGCCCATTGTTGGCTGGTGGGGCCTCGTTGGTGCTCCCGGCCGGGCAAATTGTTTTTTTTTTGTACTACTTCAATTGAAAATTCCAGCCGTTCATTTTTGTTACTTCAATTTTGAAAAGTCTTGAACGACGCGGCAGTGTAGGTTAGGGAAGTTCGTGCTGCCTATCTCGTTCAAGTTTTTAAGTTGAGCTTGGCATCGGTGTTAATACTTATTTATACAGGTTTATTTATATCCTTAAAAGCATGTTGTACCTTTACTTTAAGACATGTATCATTTTGTTTTAATAGTCCACCCGGGATGAGGGTCCTCCGCCTGGATTTTATTTTAAAACATGTACCATTTTGTTTTGATAGTCCACGCGGGATGAGGGTCCTCTCCAAGAGACATGTACTGGACGCCTTAGTGCATACTGACCTCGTCACTGCGATGGAGACCATCGCCGATAACCATGACGGTGAATAGCCCGCCCACCACCGACAGGAGAAGAAACTCCAACCTCAACAAAGATAGCACCCACTCGAGGCAAACTTTATTCAACATTGTCCCTGAATGGAAATAGTGCCTTATGCATAGCAAGTACTCTCTCTCTCTCTCCATGTCAAAATAAATGACATCTTGATTTGCATTGAGCCAATCAATTTAAAGTTTGACTAGATTTATAGAAAAGAATATTAGTATTTATATCTTCAAATATATTTACTATAATTAGTTTAATGATAATTATCTAGTCTAATTATAAATATTAACATTTTTTTAAATCTATTTAGTCAAACTTTAGAATGTTTGACTCTTCGAAACAGAAGTTGTGTACTCCCTTCGTCAACAAAAGAATGCAATTATAAGAACCGTGCCAGTTAAAGTAGCTCCAGTTTGACCAACTTTTATAGTAAATAGTATTAGCATTTATGTCTCCAAATAAATTTATTATAAAAATAAACTAATCTAGTGATATTTATTTTGTCTCAT